CCCCTCCTGGTGACCCCGCTCTGTGCCTGGGCCTCCGTGACCTGACCTGACATGACCGAGATGCCGCTGTGTATGACCCAAGACCAGCAGGAGGCGACGGGGAGCCAAGGGTCGTCAGCCAAGGAGATCAAGGATGAGGTCAAGGGGTCACTGGAGGAGGACCTTGATGAAGAGGTGAAGAAGGCGTCATCAAGTAAGACCTCTGACGATGACGACAACGATGACAAACATGGCGGCGATGACACACGTAAGATAATGAATGATGACTTAACCTGTGTATGATGACTTAACCTGTATGATGACTTAACCTGTGTATGATGGCTTAACCTGTGTATGATGACTTAACCTGTGTATGATGACTTAACCTGTGTATGATGATGACTTAACGTGTGTATAACGATGACTTAAATTGTGTATGATGACTTAACCTGTGTATGATGATGACTTACCGTGTGTATGATGACTTAACGTGTGTATGATGATGACTTAACGTGTGTATGATGATGACTTAACGTGTGTATGATGATGACTTAACGTGTGTATGATGACTTAACCTGTGTATGAAGATGACTTAACGTGTGTATAATGATGACTTAACCTGTGTATGATGATGACTTACCGTGTGTATGATGACTTAACCTGTGTATGATGATGACTTAACGTGTATATGATGACTTAACCTGTGTATGATGATGACTTACCGTGTGTATGACTTAACCTGTGTATGATGATGACTTAACGTATATGATGATGACTTAACGTGTATGATGATGACTTAACGTGTGTATGATGATGACTTAACGTGTGTATGATGATGACTTAATGTGTATGATGATGACTTAACGTGTGTATGATGACTTAACCTGTGTATGAAGATGACTTAACGTGTGTATGATGATGACTTAACCTGTGTATGATGATGACTTACCGTGTGTATGATGACTTAACCTGTGTATGATGATGACTTAACGTGTATATGATGATGACTTAACATGTGTATGATGACTTAACCTGTGTATGATGACTTAACCTGTGTATGATGATGACTTACCGTCTGTATGATGGCTTAGCCTGTGTATGATGACTTAACCTGTGTATGATGACTTAACCTGTGTATGATGACTTAACCTGTGTATGATGATGACTTACCGTGTGTATAATGATGACTTAACCTGTGTATGATGGCTTAACCTATGTATGATGACTTAACCTGTGTATGATGATATAATGATAATGTATGGTGTTGACTTAATGTGTATGATGACTTTTAACACCTTAAGTAGAGGCAGTATTCCATTGAGTACGATGACTTAACCATTATGAGTACAATGACTTAACCCCTCTGAGTAATGGAGTTAACCTCATGAATATGATGACTTAACCCCTTGAGTACAATGACTTAACCCCTCTGAGTACGAGGAGTTAACCCCATGAATATGATGACTTAACCCCTTGAGTACGATGACTTAATCCCCGTACTCTCATTTAACACCCTGAGTACGATGACTGTATAATGAGTCACTTGGATTCCTATTGCTATTATTGTTAGAATCACGTTGAAGATTAACCACCTTAATCCTAGCCTAACCTAACCTATCCTAACCTAACCAACCTAACCTAACCTAACGTAACCTAATCAAACTTAACCTAACCTAGGCTAATACTGACCTAATCGAACCATTCCAAACCTTAGATTAAGTGTTTAATTAGGCATAGGTTTAAGTTAGGTTAAGTTAAAATAGATTAGGTCAGATTAGCGTTAGGATGATTAGGTTAGGTTAAATTAAGTTAGGTGTGTTATTTGATGTTACTTCAATATCACATTTCTCGCCTTTGAATATACACTACACTTTCTTGTTTACTAACGCACTCTTATCATCCCACTTCTTTGTTTACTAACGCACCCTTTATCATCCCACTTTGTTTACTAACGCACCCTTATCATCCCACTTTTTGCTTACTAACGCACTCTATCATCCCACTTCTTGTTTACTAACGCACTCTTATCATCCCACTTCTTTGTTTACTAACGCACTCTTATCATCCCACTTCTTGCTTACTAACGCACTCTTATCATCCCACTTCTTTGTTTACTAACGCACTCTGTCATCCCACTTCTTTGTTTATCATTCACGCACTCTGTCATCCCACTTTTTGTTTACTAACGCACTCTATCATCCCACTTCTTGTTTACTAACGCACTCTTATCATCCCACTTCTTTGTTTACTAACGCACTCTATCATCCCACTTTGCTTACTAACGCACTCTGTCATCCCACTTCTTTGTTTACTAACGCACTCTGTCATCCCACTTCTTGTTTTCTAACGCACTCTGTCATCCCACTTCTTTGTTTACTAACGCACTCTATCATCCCACTTCTTTGTTTACTAACGCACTCTGTCATCCCACTTCTTTGTTTACTAACGCACTCTATCATCCCACTTCTTTGTTTACTAACGCACTCTGTCATCCCACTTCTTTGTTTACTAACGCACTCTGTCATCCCACTTCTTTGTTTACTAACGCACTCTGTCATCCCACTTCTTTGTTTACTAACGCACCCTTATCATCCCACTTCAGTAACCTAACATTACCTAACCTAATCTAACCTAACTTAACCTAACCTAATCTAACTAAACATTACTTAATTTAATCTAACCTAACTTAACTTAATTATACCCACCCTAATCTTACTCAACTTAACATAACGTAACCTAACCTAACCTAACCTAACCTAACCTACCCTACCCTACCCTAACCTAACCCCTCCAGGCGGCAGTCCTAGCGTGTTTAATCATCACGTGAAATTGCGGGGTTTTGGGGGGGCTAATGTTCATATGATCCAAACACTACCATTTATCTTGTGTGTGGCTCCTTATGTTGCGTGTGGCTCCTCGTGTTGCGTGTGGCTCCTCATGTTGCGTGTGGCTCCTCATGTTGTGTATGGCTCCGCATGTTGCGTGTGGCTCCTTATGTTGCGTGTGGCTCCTCGTGTTGCGTGTGGCTCCTCATGTTGCGTGTGGCTCCTCATGTTGTGTGTGGCTCCGCATGTTGTGTATGGCTCCTCATGTTGCGTGTGGCTCCTCATGTTGCGTGTGGCTCCTCATGTTGTGTGTGGCTCCGCATGTTGTGTATGGTGCCTCATGGTGTGTGTGGCTCATGTGTGAGGTTCCTTATGTTGTGTGTGACTCATCATGTTGTGTGTGACTCATCATGTTGTGTGTGGCTCTTCATGTGGCTCCTCATGTTGGCCAGCGAACCTGACTCAGACAGATCAACACCTGACATCGTTTTGTTTACATTCTTTAATTTAGTGTGACAACCACAGGCAGTTAACATAGCTGGAAGTGTGTGTGTGGTTTTTGCTTCGTGTTTGTCTCAAGTCTGGCTTGTTTGTCTTTTGTGTTTGTTTAGAGTTTAGACCATCTGCCATGTCTGTGTCATGTAAACAACCATCTGCCGTGTCTGTGTCATGTAAACAAACCATCTGTCATGTTTCTGTCATGTAAACAACCATCTTGGATGATTTTGTTTGTCTTATATGGTGTTATATAATTATACGTGTTTTTATATGGGAATGTGTTCACCACTACTACCACCACCAACCACAACCACCACCAACTACCACCAACCACCATCACCAACCACCATCACCAACCACAACCACCACGTCCAGCTACAACCACCACCAACCACAAATGTTCCTCAACTCACACAAACGTTGCCAGTGTTTCCATCCCAAACATCCTTCATATAAATGTTGCAGCACAGTTAAACTCCATGTCGAGTGTGTTGGTCTGAGTGTGTCTATAAAGTGTCTCTGTTAAGTGTTTCTCGAGTGTTTTTATTATATACTTTTTTATGTACTATTTTACTTACATTACTTTTTTACTTTTATTACTTTTTACTTATATATAAATACTGTTTTGATAAATGCCATATACAGCACACACAATATATATATATATATATATATATATATATATATATATATATATATATATATATATATATATATATATATATATATATATATATATATATATATATATGTCAGTCTGCCAACTATCACTTCTAATACAACAGAGTCATTATGGGTTGGCGAAGGTTCGTCTAATGTAATTTCCATAAACGTGTCAGGGTGAGGTAGTTGAGATTTAATGCCTGGAACTAATGAGTGCCCCGTGTTGACGACATTGTGGAAAAAAAACAAAATTCAGTGTATTTGTTAACATTGGATGAAGTTCTCAAGAAAATAACAAAAAACATTAATCCCATCCATCTATGTTTGATATCCCTGTTCATCAGCAATAAAGTTATCTCAACCCTTAATGCTATAGTGACGTGTTACGGAAACTTCGCCAGACGGACCTTCGCTAGTTACCTGTAATCAGTGATATTATGGTAGAAATTTTTTATAACGATTGAAGTTATTGTGTTGTGGCCCAGGCGGCGCCCCACCAGACAGAGAACGTCCAGCCATTGGTCTTTTCCCCTCTTGGTGTCCTGGGGTAGTCTCCAGTAAAGTCAAACCTCCATATGCCGGACTTCTCTCTTCATATAATCTGCTAGATGAGGGGTTTCACGTTTAATGGTCCCTCAATGTTATGAACTTTCCTCTCTGTATAGTCCGTTAAATAGAGGTTTCACTGCAGTCCTAGTCTAGTCTTAGTAAGTCCCAGGAAGGGTGATAGTTGTCCTACGGTGATCAAAGGAGCTCCAGGTGACAGTACACTTCCCCCTACCACTGTAGACAGACCCTCACCCAGTAATGTTCAGTAGTGTCCCTCTCTCCCTGTCTCCCTTATTCCCTCATTCCCATACTTCCAAACTTACTCACTCCCTCATTCCTACATTCCTTCATTCCCTGTCACTCACTCACCCCTCCCTCACTACCTTCCCCTTTCACTTACTCATTTCCTCCTCCCTCCCTCTCTCACTGACTCCCTCCCTCCCTCACTGACTCCCCCTCACTCCCTCTATGCCTCCCTTACAGAAGGTTCTCTCTACGACAACAACAATTACCATGAGGAATGTCTCCGCTGTAACTCCTGCGGGCTCAACCTGACCGGACCTAACCAGACCCGGGCGAGGCGCTACAAGAACCAGTTCCTTTGTGACCTTCACTTTGCTGACGTTGCCCTCATGGAGACGTCAGACTTCCTGCAACAGCTGAGGTCCTTCAAGCCACAGAGTCTCGGGTGCGCTGTCGCCAGAAGGAAATCATCAACCACCCTCATCTTTCCTCTACCTCCTCAGGCCTGTGCAGGTGAGTTCCTTCCCCAAGAGGTGTAGGTGTAGTCCCCAGGAGGTTTAGTCCCAAGAAGGTGTAGGTGTAGTCCCCAGGAGGTGTAGGTGTAGTCCCCAGGAGGTGTTGATGTTGTCCGAAGTGGTGTAGGTGTAGATAACTCCTTGCAATAAAGTTTCTTCACATGAAAAGAATAATAAGAACTGAATGATTTTTATTGTCTCATTATAAGAGGCCGAATTAGCTCACCAGTCTTACTATCACTATTGCTGGTGGTCCGGATCTTTGGCCCCACACCTCGATAATGATCTAGAGTTACCAGTTCGAATTCTAGGTGGGTATTGGTGGAGTAATATTGATAGTAATGGTCATGTTTACATACCTATATGACCCCTCTTTCTCTGCTATCTTCCTTTCAGGTTTATGTAACTTTATGTTCGTCATCCATATATTCAATGGTGTGTCTCCCCCATTTCATAGATGAGTTCTGCCCTGGGTACCCGCACAGCCTCATACCAACTCCTGGGTACTGGATCGAGTGTGCAGGACAGACTGTACCCGACGATACCATCTGGGATGAGTCAGAACCCGAGCTGGAGGACGGGTCCCCCCAGAGCGACCACCCAGATAAGGCGGACCAGAACATCCAGGTGGGGACATCTAATATACTATGGGAATAGCCGTGTGTTTGTCTGTCTGTGTGTCTGTTCTGGGCAGCCGAAACGGCACAATAGTTTTTCATCAAACGTGGTGGAAAAATCGCAAAAAATTCGTAGAGTGGAACAAACCTGGTCCCATGTCGATGGTTTCTTTAGGAAGGCATTAATTAACCATTTTATATATGCTGAAAAACGATGCAAGTCTACAGACTTGGCGCACCCTCATTTGCTGTACGCTGTCAGCCGGACGGTGGTTGCGCGCTAGCCAAGCACGAGCGTTCAAACTTTCACCGGGCACGAAGGGCCCGCGATCACTTGTGTATACTTGGGTGTCTCAGAGGCATCTCAGAAAAATGTATACACACCGCCTAACACGTTTTCGTGGAGACGGTGTGAATGTTTGTATTATAATAGCAATTTTGTCCTCACTTGTGGAAGACATCACACATCAACACGTGAGGACAAAGTTGTTGTTATAATACAAACATTGACACCATCGCCACGAAAACTTGTTAGACAGTGTGTATACATTTTTCTGCAACGCCCTGAAATCTTAGAAGAGCTTATCAGAATAGATCATAGTATGAGTGTGGATGGTTGTACGTGTTGATAAGCCCAGTAGAGGTAATGGGTAGGTGATATCTGGTCAGGTGTACCTGCCGGTCACTCTGGTACAGGTATATAACAGTCCTGGAGGCCACAGCTCTCACTCAGTTGTGTATGGCCGTGAAAATTATCAACTTGTTGGTTCTTTCATTCTCTCTGTCTTATATCTTACCTTCTCTTTTTATTTTTTTACCTGTACAGTATATATAACCCCTTTACTGCTCTCTGGTAATCACACCTCCCTCAGTAGGAAGATCTGGGAGAGTCGTGTAGTCTGGCGCCAGTAACACAGGTTGTCCTCTTGCAGGTTTGTCCGGGCGGGCAGGTTCCCGTCATCAACGAGCCGTCGCGCCAGAAGACGTGTATTCAGGAGCAGTGGGAGAGGAATGGTCAGTTTGACTTGACCAGCATCGACCAGGAGACCTACGAGAAGTACTTCTATGGCTCTGAACATTGGAACTACTTCACCCAAGACGAGGACCTTGGCCCTGTCATACTCTCGCTCAAGCAGGAGACGTCCAACGGCAGAGACCAGTTCAGGTACAATACCTTGAGGGACCAATTTAAGTACCATGACTTCAGGGACCAGTTCAGGTATGAACGCGCTTCACTTTTAGGTAAAGTAGAAACTTTTTTTTAAGTCGTTTTAAGTGAGGATTAATACCCCGGGTGGGGGGCAACATTTCAGGGAACAGATCCAGCAGCAGCCACAACTGACTCTACCTGCCAGGGCGACTCTCGGCAACACTCATCCCTCAGATGCTCAACGATTTATACGTTATGTTTTTCTTCCTAAATGGAGATGAAGGAACACCTCAGACACTCCTCAGTACTGTCGTGACACATCAGTCATTACCATTTTGACAGTTACACATCACAGGACTTGAGTGAGCCAGTTAAAAGACAGTCAGACATCTCCAGTTAGGGGGAAACATTAACATGTATGTGTGAGTGACTTTAGGTCCTTGTGGGTGACGTCAGGGAGGACTCGTGGAGGCTTGAGGACCCAGGAAACAAGACCAGTGTAACGACCACAGAATTTCCATAGAATTTCACACCTGTCTGACCTGTGCTACACCTGTCTGACCTGTGCCACACCTGTCTGACCTGTGCCACACCTGTCTGACCTGTGCTACACCTGTCTGACCTGTGCTACACCTGTCTGACCTGTGCTACACCTGTCTGACCTGTGCCACACCTGTCTGACCTGTGCTACACCTGTCTGACCTGTGCTACACCTGTCTGACCTGTGCTACACCTGTCTGACCTGTGCTACACCTGTCTGACCTGTGCCACACCTGTCTGACCTGTGCCACACCTGTCTGACCTGTGCCACACCTGTCTGACCTGTGCCACACCTGTCTGACCTGCAGTGCCACACCTGTTCGACTCTGCCACACCTGTCTGACCCTGCCACACCCAGTCTGACCCAGCTACACCTGTCTGACCCAGCCACACCTGTCTGACCCAAAGTACTCCCAGCCTGACCTGTGCCACACCTGTCTGAATTTGTGCTACACCTGTCCACCTGTGCCACACCTGTCTGACCTGTGCTACACCTGTCTGACCTGTGCCACACCCTGTCTGGACCCTGTGCCACACCTGTTCGAATCGTGCCACACCTGTCTGACCCAGCACACCTGTCTGACCTGTGCTACACTCTGCCTGACTCCAGCACACCTGTTTGACCCAGCACACTCTGGTCTGACCCTGTGCTACACTCTGTCTGACCTAAAGCATACCTGTTCGACCCAGGGCACCTGTCTGACCTGTGCTACACCTTGCCTGACCTGTGCTACACCTGTCTGACCCAAAGCACACCTGTCTGACCTGTGCTACAATTGTCTGACCCCAGCACACCTGTTCGACCTAGCACACCTGTCTGACCTGTGCTACACCTGGTTCTGATGACCTGTGCTACACCCCTGTTCATCTGTGCCAAACCTGTCTGACCTGTGCCACACACCTGTCTGACCCAAAGCACCTGTCTGACCCAGCCACACCTGTCTGACCCAGCACACCTGTCTGACCTGCCACACCCATTCGACTTCAGCCACACCTGTCTGACCTGTGCCACACCTGTCTGACCCAGCTACACTTGTTCTTGGACCTGGCTGCACCTGCCTGACCTGTGCCACACCTGTCTGACCTGAGCCACACCTGTCTGACCTGTGCCACACCTGTCTGACCTGTGTCACACCTGTCTGACCTGTGCCACACCTGTCTGACTTGTGCCACACCTGTCTGTCTGTGACACACCTCTTTGACCTGTGCCACACCTGTCTGACCTGTGTCACACCTGTCTGACCTGTGCCACACCTGTCTGACCCACCCCACACCTACTGAGTCACGTGAAAGGAACTGAGCGTCCTTCATGACCACGTCTACTAAAAGAAAATAATTTGCATGTTACTTTTAACTCATAATTAATTTCAGTGTTAAATTTCTGTTCTATGTTAACTGCTTGTTTACACTGCTAACTATTTAAAAAAAAGTCTTAAATTTTGTTGGTAATAAATGAATGGCACTTGTTTGCTTTCTGAAGTCTTTAAAATCCTTCTCTTAAATAGTGATAAAAGTTTTAGATAATTTTTGAACTGTTCAGTGTTTTGTTTTAAGCTAATTATCATCTTCGTGTTTTTAACTAGATATTTGTTAATTATTTCGTCTCGGCACTATTATTATTATTATTATTATTATTATTATTATTATTATTATTATTATTATTATACATGGAATGCATTTAAAAACTCTTAATGTATTGGCCATATAAACTTTTTTCTACAATTGGTGAATTTTTTTCGAGATTTTTACTCAAACTCACGAAAATTTTGTCGATTTTTGAGATGTGGATTAAATTTTTATTCTTTTACAGTGAATTAAGTTGAGTATTTATGGTGTCCGTGTGTTTATTTTTCACCAACTGTTTTCATTGTTATTTTTGTCTAGTAAATATAATAATACTTAGCATGTGTATGAATATCTCTTTCAATGTTCATTATGTTTGTATATGTATGTATGCTGTGTATGTATGTCTGTATGTATGTGTGTGTGTGTGTGTGTGTGTGTATATGTTTGTATGTATATATGTTTGTCAGTATGTGTAGTTCTGTATGTTTGTTTATGTGTGGTTGTGTGTATGGTTCTGTATGTATGTGTGTGTGTATGTATGTATGTATGTATGTATGTATGTGTGTATGTATGTATGTGTGTATGTATGTATGTATGTATGGTTATGTCTGTCTGTCTGTCTGTCTGTCTGTCTCTGTGCCTTTGTCTGGTTGTTCAAGTACATATTTGAACGTTTTGCTGAGTTTTGCCGAGTGATACTTGATGTTGCTGGAAGTTGCTAAATGTTGCTGGATGCTACTGAGTGTTTCTGGATACTACTGAGTGTTGCTGGATGTTCCTGAGTGTTCCTGAGTGTTGCTAAGTGTTGCTGGATGCTACTGAGTGTTCCTGAGTATATGTCAGTGTTGATCGTTGCTCTTAACCTTCACCTTTTGCCCGGCCTCTATGCTTGCCCTCCGCCTCTTGCCCTTCTTGCTCTCTTCATAACACTAACTCCTCTCCTCCTCCTTCCCCACTCCTACAGGATCATGGTACGAGGGATATCCTACACGGTACACGGCCTGGTCCCCGCCTCCTGTGTGTTCGCTGATCGCTACAACAGAGAGGAGGTGGTGAGGTCTTTCGGCAGAGAGATAAACCTCAATCCGCCTCTGGTGTTAGGCCAGCTGCCAGACATCCCCGAGGAACTGCTCAAACTCGACCAGGTGGGTGGAGGATAAGGAGGAGATGAGAGAGAGAGAGGTTATCTTAAGGGAAGGGAAGGAGAAGAGAGGATGGGAGAGGAACGCTGATATGAATTATGAAGGATACTCACCCGGCTGCTCTCTTTGCCACAGGTGTTCATCAAGAGTGAGCTGAAGGTGGGTGTGGTGTACGTGAGGGAGGAACAGTATACAGAGGAAGAGATCCTGGACAACAACGACACCTCACCGCTGTTTGAAGAGTTCCTGCAGATCCTGGGCGACAAAGTGAGGTTAAAAGGTGAGGGATGTGAGAGGTGAGGGATATGAGAGGTGAGGGATGTGAGAGGTGAGGGATGTGATGGTGAGAGGCTAGAGAAGTATTGGTGAAAAGTGAGGAAAATGAAGTGATGCTAAAAGTAGAATTGAGATCTGAGGAAAGTGAAGTTGAAACTAAGACAAGAGGATCATGTGTGTCTGTCTGTCTGTCTGTCTGTGTTTAAAGGACCCATGATATTTGTGTCCAATATACACACTCGAAACCTAACCTAACCTAACCTACTCTACTCTTCCAGGCTTCGACAAGTACAAGGGCGGGCTGGACACTGTACACGACCTTACAGGACTCTATAGTGTGTACGCCCACTGGAGGAACATTGAGATTATGTTTCACGTCTCCACCTTACTGCCCTATGAGAAGCACGACCCGCAGAAGGTGAGTGAGGGTACTTTAACTTACTTTAGTCACAGAACTGTTTCATTATATTCTTCATTGTTTTGTGTAACACCCATGTACTGTCTGGATAACAGGATCGTCCTTGTGTCGTATAAGTCATCGTGGTAGTCATCATCTAACTCATCATCTTGGGTTATCATCTAAGTCATCATCTTGAGTCATCATCAAAGTCATCGTCTAAGTCATCATCATCTAAATCAACATCTTTAGTCTTCATGTTATTCATCCTATTGGTCATCGTCATCGTCTAACTCTCCTCCTCCTTGTCGTTCCACAGTTACAGCGGAAACGACACATCGGAAACGACATCGTGTGTGTGGTGTTCCTGGAGGCTGACAACACCCCCTTCTCCCCGGCCTGCATCAAGTCCCATTTCCTTCACACCTTCATAGTGGTCAGAACGAGTCCCAGGATCAAATTCAAACCCACTCGGTATGAGGTGAGTCCTGTGGGCAAAGTGGGTTCGCTGTGGGTTGATTCTACACATGGTGGATTGGATATACATATTGTGGGTTGTGGATATGCACACTGTTTGAATTTGTTTATTTTATAAATATTTCCTCTAGATTGACGATTTTGCAGTCTTTGTTTACATTGGGTGCACCTGTTAGTTCCAGCACGCACCTCAGAGATAATGTTACTTTCTTGGGGGTCCAACAGGTAGCAGTGGTGTCTAGGGATGAAGTTGGGGCCTACAAACCGTACTTATGGGAGCAGAGTTGTTTCGAGAAGGGCCCCATGTTTCGTGAGTGGCTCCTGACCAAGATCGTGAATGGGGAGAGGGCCTCTTACTCTGCCCCAAAGTTCGCCCGTATGCAGGACCGAACCCGGTCACAGATGCTGGAAGACCTCGTCAATAATCTTCAGAACCATGCTGAGACTGGCCAGATTCCCAAACCTTACAGGTAGGTGATATTCCCCTGATAGAAGGAGAGAGAGAGAGAGGGGGGGGGGGGAGAAACGGACAGAGAAGATAGAGAGACAGAAAGAGAGAGAGAGAGAAAGAGAGAGAGAGTGTGTCTCTTTTTCATCTTTCATCTTCCGTCATTTTGTTCTCTTATATCAACATTATCTCAATACTGCATTAGTTTCTTTTCCTCCACCACCACTTCTCCACCTCCCCACCTCCCCACCTCCACCATCACTTCTCCACATCCACCACCCCCTCCTATTCTCCACCATCACTTCACCATCTCTTTCTGTTCTTAAGTATATTTCCAGTATGTGTCACCATTATATGTCTCAATCTTCACCTTATTAACACTCTTCCTCCTTCATCAGACTTTATAATTACATTTCTAAGTTATTTCTGTTTGTCCGTCAATGCCCATCTGTGCCTGACTGTCTCATTGGTGTTGGCAGACGCGGCTCTTGGCGGCCCATAGGTCATATGCGTCCCTCGTCGCCACTGCTGGACTCAGTTCGCGACTTGTTCGAGGGCCATGACCAACTGGCCAAAGACTTCACCCGTGCCTTCCACAACAGCGAAAACCAGTTCAACAATATGCTCTATGACGTCACCTTCATGGTCGGCGCTGGCAAGGAAAAGTGTAAGCTCTTTGGGGTGAGAGCGATCCTTGGCGTCCGCAGCAGGTGAGTGTTTGTAGTGGCTGACGGAGGGCTGACAGGGTGAGGGACAGACAGGGTGAGTGACTAACACAGTGGGGGGCTGACAGGGCCCCCAAAATAATGACACTAGAAGAATATAAATTGGTTGTTAGGCATTACTGTACTCTCTCCCTACTCTCCCTCCTTCTATCTCCCTACCCTTTCTACTCTCTCTTCCTACCCTCCCCACCACCCCCTACTCTCCCTACCACCCCCTACCTCTCCCTACCACCCCTTACCTCTACCTCCCCCCACTCCCTCCCCTCTCTCCCCCCCTCTCCCCTACCCCACCTCCCCCCAACTCCCCCTCACCCTCCTCTACCACCCCTCTCTCCCTACTCACCACTTTCCCCCCCCTTCTACCCCTACCTCTCCTCCACCCACACCCCCCTCTCTCCTCCCCTCTCTCCCCTACTCTTTCACCCCTCAGTCCCCCCACCTCCCTACCACCCCTTACCTCTCTACCACCCCCTACTCTCCCTACTCATCTCCCACTCTCTCCCTAATGACCGTCCATCTCGCAGGGTGTTCCAGGAGATGCTCTATGGGTTCAGTACAGGGTTCGGATCACCGCAGGTCTCGGTGGCGGACATACTGGCTCGGGCTGTCCCCACCCTCCACTCTCCCTCACACAAACCTAAGAGCTCCAACTTCCTCCAGGTGAGTATTTATTGTCTGTAGGTGAGTATTTGGTGCACCTAGGTGAGTATTTAGTGCCCCTAGGTAAGTATTTTTGTCTCAAGGTGAGTATTTGGTGTCCCTAGGTGAATATTTTTGTCTCTAGGTGAGTATTTTTGTCCCTAGGTGAGTATTTTTGTCTTTAGGTGAGTATTTAGTGTCCCTAAGTCAGTATTTACTCTCAGGTTAATGAACTTAACCTAAAACTAAACTTAATTTCTGAGATTGTAAATTTTCTTTCGATTCCTGATGATGAGGTAAACATTCACCTGTACTGTACTTTTACCTCCTGACCTCCTACACCTCTTCCTCTATGACCTCCTCCTTCACCTCTTCCTCCATGACCTCCCCTTCCTTCATGACCTCCTTTTCCTCCTACAGGTGCCAGACATCGAGACACCACGACCTAAAAGTGTACCAAACTCCCCTATCGTGATGCGCGCCTTCTCCCGCCTCGGCACTCTGACCTCAGGCTGGGGAAGGTCCTCGAAGAAGCATGACCGCCTTTCCGTCGAGGACAAGAAGAAATGGGCTTCCTCACAGGACTGTTCAGGTGGGTCATGATCCCTGACAGCCCACCTACAGACACTCAGAGATCATAACAGATACTCATAAATACTCACAGACAGCCACAGATACTCACAGACAGCTACAGATGGTCACAAACAGCTACAGATACTCTCAAACAGCTACAGATGCTCACAAACAGCTACAGATACTCACAAACAGCCCTTAAGCATAGTAAGAGACGCACTAATGTTGATGGTTTATGTACTGTAGAATATTAAGGTAAATTATACAAAGTTTATCTCTTAATATAAATATAATTATGAGTTGTACCTAAAATTATTTATAATATTTTTTTTTATAATAATTATCTGAGTACTGATTAAAAATGTATTAATTTCCAAACGGGCCTATCAAAAAACAATGTCTAAATTTGAATATATAAGTATTTAATATCTAGGCATTGTGTTTTGGATTACTGTTTATGATATATGAATAGATACGTATTTATATATTTCCTATAATAACATTGTAGGAGTTATTAGAAGATAAGTTATATTAGTTTGTTATTTTAAGTTAATGTTTGGATATTTTTACTTGTTGTTTTGGATACTTAGTTATTTTCAACACTTGGTTATGTCTCTTCGTTACCTCTTTATTCTTCTTATTTTTTCTTTAGTTCTCTTCTATTCCTCTATCCATTATTTATATACAAGTGGTAGAATAGTATAGTAAATAAGCTGTTTGTTTATGGCTTAATATGCAGATAAGTGTTATGATGTGTACTTAGATTTTGTAAGTAAAGAGACCAAGAGACATAATTTTTAAGGTTTGGTTAGGTTAGGTTTTTAGGTCAGTAGAGAAAACAGTAAACATTGCAAGATGGAATGAATTAAGTTAGAATATTTAATAAAATTCCATAGAAAAACTAGGATGTGAAATTACTTAAATTGAGAAGTGGGGGAAGTGGGGGAAGTGAGAGATGAGGCGAGGAGTCAGAGGTGAGGGGGGAGGGGTAGAGTGAAAGGTGAGGTGAGAGAGGAAGATTTGAGAGGTGAGGCAAGGAGTGAGAGATAAAGGGAGAGGATTAAAGAAAGACAAAGATACAAACAAAGAGAGAAGGGGAATTTAGAGATAAAGAGAATGTAGAGAGAGAGAGAGAGAGAGAGAGAGAGAGAGAGAGAGAGAGAGAGAGAGAGAGAGAGACCGATAAGAGGGACGTGGGTGCTTCTAGCAGGCAAGGACGGCAAGGAGAGGCAGGGAGACAAGAATGCCCTGGCGGTCCCTCGACTGAGCGTGTGTGCTGACGGAGGCAAGGTGGACCGGGCGAGGCTCTGCCAGGCGGAGGTACGTGTGTTGGTGCCCCAGACCAGCGAGCGGCGCCAGACCCAAGTACGGTAACTCCCAAGACACGTGCACGACCCACCACCACCACAACCACCACCTCCCCTACAGCACGTGTGTTCGTCCTCACCATCACTATCACCACCATACCACCACCAGCTGTTCACCCTCACTACCACCACCAACACCACTATTTATTATCATCAGCCATCACCAATCATCATCATCACCATCACACTGCTTAGGGTAGATTCATTCATGTACACACACACACACACACACACACACACGCTCTTGTTGTATTGTACACACTCATATGTATATACAGACTTGTTGTTACATACACACTTACATGTGTACACAAGCTCTTGTTGTTATGTACACATACTCACATGGCACATTATGTACACCATCACATCCACGACTGTTACCATACACCTGAGTGTAGGCACGTATCCAGCACACACCTTCATGCGATCTTGTTGCTTTGTACACACACACACACACCAAGTGTTCCACCAACTTCGCCACACCCTACAGCCCACACACACACATACACACACCACTATATATAGTATTCCTGTGCAGATATCAAGAATAAGAATTATTTTGCAAGCTACAAATATCCAAATAGAATACTGAAAGGTTTAATACATCATAAACCCCTTTAGGTGCAGTTGTTTGGATTAATTTAGTTATGCCTGAAGTGCTAGTTTCTAGGAGTGTTTTCTTTGATGCCCATCACAGAAAATGTAATTGAAGCGTAAATTAATGTATTTGTTTAATATCGACCAAAACGCTTTTATATGATGAAACACAATAAATAAATAAGAAATAAAGATCTGAATATACAGTAGTAGATTTGTTGTCAAGAACACACTTTAGTTTACTTAAATAAGTCAGGAAAACTACTAAAACACTTTAGCCACAGGAATTGATGGACAAAGTAAATACTCCAATCACTTAAAATAACGGAACCTTTGTAATTTTTTCTTTTACAAATTCACAATACTAATATAATGATCCACTATGTGCATCAGCAAGGTTTTCTTCTCAGCCTGTGGTGGGTCTTAAGTTTGCTCAGTGATGGTCAGTTGTCGGTCCACCTGACACTAATCCACCAGCTTCCAGTATGCAATTTCCCTGATGGCCGAGGTGGTCAGGCCATGACGGGGGAAAGGGTGTTAATGCTCGGTTTAAATTCCCTCCACTGTTAACTACAGTCTTGCTGAGGACTACTTTGAACCTTTATACTCTTCTCGCTTCCATGGCTTGAGCTGGTAAACTGTTCCATGGGTCTATCACTCACTATTTGATACGCTTAATGATTCCGTGAGTTTGGTTGGTTTTCTTCACTGCTGCCCTCACTTGAAGCTTTGCCTTCTGTGGTTGGTCTGTCACAACACTTGGGTCTTTTTCCTTATCTTGGTACCAGGAAAGTTATTCATAAAGGAATCAGGTCTCGAGTTGTTGTCCTACGTCTTACATTTCGTTGTACAGTATTTAAAAAGTATTTGCCAGTCTTGTGACTTACTGATTATGTAGTTTGATATATTTTCATGAATAACATTCTTGTAGATCACAATTAGGGTGGGACTGAGGATTAGCCCTTGTGGTACTTTTATCCTCTTCACCACTGATCGGCTTATTAGCCGTTTGAGCGATCGGTCACGTCTCTATCACGCACTGTTGGCAAGTACTGGGCATGCACCGGCTCCTGAATGTACCTGAACCTGCTTCAGTGTTGGTCAAGTCTTGTCTTGGAAGAGCTCACACTCGGTGCCGTCACAACACTTTCTGGTAGATTGTTCCAAGAGTTCACAACTCTCACTCCGAAAAGGTTTGCCCTGACAGTTTTCTGGAATTGCTGCTTCTTCAATCTTGAGCCGTGACCCCTTGTGGGGCGAGCGTCCGCCAGCTCCAGGTAAGGACACTCGACTGGGTAGTGCCTCTTGAGATGCTTATTCACCTCAATTAGGTCACCCCCTTGCCCGTCTGTAGTATAAGCTAGGCAAGTTCAGGCGCTCCAATCTCTCAGAGTAGCTGAGGTGCCGAAGTGCAGGCACCAGTCTGGTGGCCCTCCTTTGAACATTTTCAACCAACTGGTAGTCCCTAGCATATCTCGGGGAAGCACTTCACTTTTGAAGATCGTTACGAGGGACGGACCGTCTAGATATCTGAACGACCTTCTTATAAGACCCAATAATTTATTTGCCTGATTTACCTTCTTCTCACAATGGCCCGAGAACTTGAGCTCATTGTCAACATACACACCTAGGTCCTTCTCACATTCAGTCTCAAAATGTGCAGTTTTCACATGAACATCTCCTAGTGTTACTTTTATCCTCTTCACCACTGATC